CAAATATCTCCACTTTCTTTTCTTTCATTCCATTCTTTCTTCATATTTTCTTTAATTTTTCTTTTGTTCATTTCTTTCTCTTCAACTTCTTTCATCATTTCATTCATTCTTCTCTTTATTCTTTTTTTCTCATTTCTTTCGTACTCATCTTCTTCAATTGTATCATCATCACTTCTTTGATTGGTTCTTTTATCTTCTTTGATGTGTTCATAACTCTTCTTTCCTATTTTGTGGTTGTCTGTCTTTCTTGTTTTAATCTGATGATAATTTCTTTTCTTTATTTCTCTTTTCATCATTTCTTTTTCACTCTTATCTTGTTTGATTGGTTTTTCTTCATTGATAGTTGACAGATATTGACAATTCATCATGTCAATCATTTCGATGTTGTAATAAACATCAGGGTTTGTTTGCATTTCTTAATGATGGATTTTTAGTTAATTTCATTTTATTAGTTCTTGATTTTGTTGTTTCTAATTTATTTATTGTAAAAGAATGTTGTGAATAAATTGATTATTACAAATACAAACAATGATATTACACATTAATTTCTATTAATTTATTCATTCTTCTTGTTTATTTTATTATTTACCCTATTCTCATTCATTACACTTTAAAAACTTAATAATGATATTTATTGATAATAAAATGTAAATAGTAAATAAATACATAAATTGTATTATTGAATTGATATATTTGATAAGTTAATAATAATAACACAAAAAGAATAAATATGAAAAGAAAATGATGATAAAAATGAAAGAAATAACAGAAATTGAAATAATTAAATAATTTTATTATACAACTTCATTTATTTTAATTTAAATAAAATGATGAATGTAATGATATGAATACATTTATTATTTCATAAAAATGTGAATAAATAATAAGAAAGATAATAAAAATACATTCTGAATAATGAATATCATTATAATTAACTATGAAATAAATAAGAATTAAACACAAAACAATAATTATTTTTATTCAATTATTAATGATAAAATAT